CGCGCAGGTCAAGGTCGAGGTCAGGCAAATGGTCGGGAGGGGGGGTGTCCGCGGGGTGGCTAGGGCGCAGGGGCTGAGCGGGAGGCTGCCGGTTCGAGGAAACCGTTGTGGGGCCCCCGGGCCACGTGTCCTTCCAACCAGGAAGCTTGTGGTGCAACCGCAGGGTGCTGGGGAGAACTGCCCCATCATGCCCCGCCAACCCAGTACCTTGCAGAGCCTGCCTGCCCCCCGCTCCTCTTGGCGTCGTCCTCTGAGCAAGGCCACAAACACTGGTCTCCCCGACGACGTTGCCGCCCCCACCTCGGGGCGGCGAGCAGGGCGAGTGGCTGGGCGCAGCCCCTTCTTTACTTTAGACTGTGTGATCTGCAGACGTTACACGACCCTCTTCCCCACCCCGCCACCCCTTAGAGGAATGGCAACCATTCTTCCTACCCAGTGTTGTGGGGATTAGATGAGAAGTCATGATTCGCGTCTTTTCTTCTTAGTAGAACTGGACTTTGACAGGATGGCAATTAGGAATTCATCCATCCACCCATTCATGGAGTAAACATTTATTGTTGCGCACACTGTGGCTGAATGGCCTTAGCCTGCAGATACTCTGCCCAGAGACAGTTTGCCCAGAGGCCTGTCTTTGGTGGTGGGGGCTGGGGTGGGGAACAGATCAGAAAATGGATAGCCCACTTCTCCCAACCACCACAAATTCAGAGGATCAGAGAGCCCCACTCCCAGCCTGAGAAGTCAGTGCTCTCTGTTCTGAACTCTGCAGTGACCCCACTCCTCTGCTTGTGTCCTGTTCTTGGGTCCCTCTGCCAACCTTCTCCCTTCTCACCTGTCCAGCCCTTGTTCATCCCAACGCATGCCTCATTCCACTTCCACCAACGGGGACAGTCAGTGGCTTCCTGGGTTCTGCAATGACCAAGTGGTTGGAGCTGAATGCAGGCTAAGGCTGGTGTTATCTGGTCTCAGAGCTCACTGGTCAGGTCTTTCTTGGCCTCCCCTGGCCTTCCCTCAGAAGTCTGTGTGGATGAATGGGGTCGCCTCCCACCACCGGGAAGAACCCTTTCAGTTGCTCACACCCACTCCAGCCCCAACACAGGGCTGAAGACGGTGCCCCTTGGAGCTTCCTGGAAGTGGAGGCACCGTGAGATGAACACCCAGTATTACCTGTCCTGTGGTCTGGCACCTGCCAGCCTAGGGGGAGTCTGCCCTCTTCACCCCATCTTCCAGAACATCCTCTGCTTTCGGGGGAATCCTACACTTTCTTTTTCCCTTTTTGGCCTCAGGATAGTTGTGTGGTAGAACAATGAGGCGCGTGCGTGCGTGTGTGTGTGTGTGTGTCTGTGTGTATGACATCTTGATGGGGACTTGGGGTAGGAGGTAGTGATCCTAGATTGAGTGCAGTCAAGCTGGGAGGGGAAAGGTCAGCTTTCCAGACCAAGGGCCCAGAAGGCCCCCTCCCCTGTTCTGGGGCTTGTGAAGTGGCTGTGGGAGGGGCTGCCTACTGGAGGAACAAGTGTAACCAGAGTCCTGACTTACCTAGAAAGGGTGGCTCCCTCTTCAACTGGAAAAAAAAAAAAGAAAAAACCAAGCCAAAAAAACCTCAGCATAATCCTTCCTTCCTAGGGCACCGAGGATGAAAGGGGTGAGCGTATATGAGACATGTGAGTTTGAGGGATATTCATTTTCTTGTGGGCCTTTCTCTCCTGCTGTAACCCCCTCTAAAAAGAGGGGAGGGTGCATTATTTTCCTGGCCTTCTTTGGTCTTCAAGTCTAGTTACTTTTTCTACCAGGGCTTTGTGAGTCTTGCTGCCCTCTTGGTTCTCCTGGTAAAGGAAATGGACTGACAGTGAAGTCCAGAGGATTTATGGAAAATACCTAGTTTCCTGAGGTTCAGGACTGACCAGTGAAAAGATTCTGAAAGAGTTTCACAAACAGTGGATCCTACATCTTAGGGTGTCCGGTGCATGCTGTATCCAGAAGGCAAGCTTGTGGGCATGACCCTCTCCTAATTACGACTTTCACCAGCTTCTGAATTACTCCCTGCCTCAGTTTCCCTATCCGTCTCAGGAAAATGCTTGTTTCTCAATCTGCGCGGGCTGGGAGGGTGGCAAGGTGAGGTGGTAACTGAGTGTCTGGTTTACCTGTTCTCTCTCTCACGACAGCCTTTATGACATCATTGTTTGCGCTGATTGATTGGGGCGTCCTCCCAGGAATCGTAGCGCGGACACAGTCCTCACGTTCACTAGTCTCACAGAACCCCCGTCTGGAGCTCTTCTTAGGAAGACGGCAGCCGTCTCCCCTATCCCAGTACCTCCCTCTCTTCCAGCCATAAACCAAACCCATTGACATCCAGTCAATTCTGTCCCACGGTGACCCCGTGCGTCACAGATCACAACTCTGCTCCATAGGGCTTTTTCATGGCTTGTAATCTTTGTGGAAGCCGATTGCCAGGCTTCCCTTCCGGGGCACTGCTGGGTGAGTTTGCACCCGCAAGCTCTGGGGTTACTAGTCAAGTGGAAACGGCTCGGGTCACCAGGGACCTACCCTTTCTAGAGGACTGCTAATTTTCGGAGAGTCTGGCAGGCACTGGGACCAAACCAATTTGCTCCTCGCTTCTTCTTTGGGGCAGCTTCCTCACAAATGGCATTTCTCCCATTTGGTGCAGTCACCCCTTCAAGGGCAACTGTAAGAGTCCTGGGTGCCATCCTCTCCAGACACAGCTGAGGGCTGTTTCCCCACGGGCACCTCGAGCACTGGCTGCTCTTGCCTCAGCAGGGGCAGAAAGGGTTGCGCTTAATCAACAGGAAAAAGACAGAGCCGGAGTGGGAAGTGGAAGATGGAAATCACCCATATGCTTTTTACAGCCACCGGGGAGCTGATGTAACAGTCCCCGTACTGGGACCAGGGAGAATCTCCTGAGTCAGAGCTTCCCAGTTAGGAAGAGGGATCCTTTGCTGGAGCTCCGGAACAGTTCACAGTGTGGCGGTTCCCTGCCTTAAGCCAGAAAAGTGTTGCAGCTTGGAGCGATCCATCAATCAGAGATACCTGAAATATCAGTAACTCTACAGCTCAGTGGTAGACTTTGCTCTCAATTTCACAACCAGGACACGAGGCTCTTAGATCTCTCTGATTTCTAGGCTGCCCTTCGCTAGCTAGGACAATTGATTCATTTAGATCATTATTGGGCCAAGCCTATTTGTCTTCATCAGGGACAAGCAGCTGGCATCCTGCAAGGAAGGTTTGGTCTTGTGCTCTGGCAGGATGTTGTAGAAAGCAGCAGGTGGCCTTGTCTGGGGAGTCAGGTGCGGGGTGGGTGGTGTTGGCTGTGGCTGACCACCTTACGAAGTGAAAGGCCAAGCATCAAAGGTCTGGGGGATATACAATCCTCACCCTGGGACGGGTTGGGCTCCACTGCTCACAGTCCGAAGCTACCTGGCATTCTTCACTGTCCTGCACTTGTAAATAAATCCACTGCACAAACCTGTAGCCCACAAGTCAAAGCCCCGAGCCCAGAAGCAGTTGGACCTGGGAGATGTTTGCTCATGACCTTTCTCTCACCACACCCTGGGGCTCCTGGGAGGAGCTGAGGTTTGCGCTGCAGTGCCAGGATGCTGCCTCTGCCTTCCTGGGGCCCGTCACATCCTCCTTGCTCAGCCACCGGGTGCTCAGCATGGAAGCTGCTCTCCCCTCTTGGGGAGGCAGTTCTCAGCCCGGCATCGTGGTCGGGCTGTGGCCGGAGCCTGAAGCACCATCCCCTTCCTCAGACTCTCTGTAGCCAGGCTGTGTTGGAGGAAAGGGGAGCATTCCATGTCCCGCAGGCTGGAGAAGATGGAAGGACAAGTGGTAGGCCGGGTTGTCAGGCTCTTCCGCAACCGGCTCCGACTGCGAGCAGGTCTGGACTGGAGAGCCCACTTCCTTTTTTCCAGGATGACCTTCTTAGATGGGGCGAAGGGGGGTGGGGGGGGCTGCTTCTTCCTTGAAATGTTCCTTCTTTCTCTCACTTTCACATCCCCACCTCCCCATGTGACTGAGCTGGAAGGGAGGTTTCCTTTGTTGGTTTCTCAGAGCCAGAAGTGCCCTCCTTTGGGGTTGGTGTGGGCACAGGCACATGGCCTCCGGGTCTCTTGTGATTTATTTAGCGCCTGTCTACCCAGGACATGCTATGTTTCAGGCACTGGGAGGAAGGTGGCGGGGAGTATCCACGTGACCTCCCACGAGTGGTTTCTTGGCTTCCAAACAAGTGGTTTCCAATCCCCTCTGGGCACCCTGTGGGTTTCAAGTCCCCAAGGCAGGTGTGGGAATGGCCCAGTTGGCCCCGATCCTGCTCTGCGACCTGAGGAGCTCTTTGTTTGCTGGGTGGCCGGGTTCCAGGTACCCCAGGACTAGCAAGGTGGCCGGAGGTGGTGGGGGGGCCTGGCTTCTCCAAGACTCCACACCAAGCCTCGGCCAATGTGATCCTCACAGGACCCTGGTGTCTCTGTTTTAGGATCTTCCCAGGACAATGGAGGAAACGCTGTGAAAGAATCAGAAAGGGCCCAGGAGCACACCCTGCCTAATTTTGCGGGAGGACCGCACTTTTTTGAATACCTCCTTGTGGTTTCTCTCAAAAAAAAGCATTCTGGGGATGATTATGAGCCTACTATCACCTACCAGTTCCCCAAGGTAAGGATGCAAGGAAAGAGGCAGGTGTGGTGGGGGGCCACAGAGGACTGGGCCCCCTGAGTGGTGGTGGAGGGCTGCCGCCTCCCTCTCCCCACCCTGCCAGGGCCGAGTCTGAAGGTGCCCTGGGCAGCTGCTGTTTCCTCCTTGGCCCAGTCCCTGCTTTGTAATCGCCCTCAGAATCTAGGTCTGACTTCTTGGTGAAGAACTGACCTAGGCATCCGGCAGGGTAGGGCCGCAGCAGGGAAACAAGGCGGCGAGTGGCTTGGTCTTGTTCTGAGACCTCCCAGGTCTTTCGGATCTCATCTGCAGACACTCTTCTCTGGAGAGAAGCCCCAGACCTCTGCGAAAGGCTCCCCTCCCTGGCCTGTGTGGGCAGGACCGGACCGGGCCAGGCTCAGCACTCTGGCTGGCTCTGCTCCAAGCATCAGGCTCCTGCTTGTCTGCACTGGGTGAAGGGGCGGGGCCAAGGCATCCTTCTTAACCCTGGCGGCTCAGCAACTAAGCTGGCCGCCTGTCCTCTCTCTGATGTGGTCTCCCTCTCCGACGTGCTCCCCCAGGGGCACTGGGCCATCTCAGGGCCGTGCTCCCCCAGGGGCACTGGGCCATCTCAGGGCCGTTCTGTGTTCTGCGTGGCCTAGTTCGCTTTTCTGACTCCATGGATCCTGGGGAGCCTGCCTTTAAGTGGAGCTGACCAGGGAGGGGCTCTCTCAGCATGGGGTGGCACCCACTGGCCAGATCCAGAGTGAAATCCCAGCGCAGAGTGGCAGGTGAAGGCGCCCTTTCCCCCACCCCAAGGCGAGACACTCAGCGCCTCAGAAGAAGCTTCTGGTCCTGGCCCTCGAGGTTCCCCGTTGCTGACCCCCACAACCTGTTCAGCTCTTTCTCTTTTCCGCACAGAGGGAGAACCTGCTGCGGGGCCAACAGGAGGAGGAGGAGCGGCTGCTCAGCGCCATCCCCTTGTTCTGCTTCCCTGATGGGAATGAGTGGGCCCCTCTCACGGAGTATCCCAGGTGATTGCGCAGCCTCGGGACTGGACGGTGTGGGCTGGTGACCAGCGCCTGGAGCTGTCTGTGTAGCCTCACACCCATTTCCCACCAGCGTCTCCTCTGGGGGAAGGGCCTGCCGGTGGCTCCCTTGTAAACATCTCCCCTGGGCTCTCTCAAGGCCAAGGCTATGCACTGTCACCAGAATAAGGCCAGAGCCTCTCACCTGTCCTAGGAGAGACTGCCGCCTAGGCCTCACTCCTCATGTTGTTTGGATCTGACATGGGCAGGAGCCAGGCTCCGCTGAAGGCCTTTGGCCTCAGGAGGCCAGGTAGCAAGGCCCCTTACAGGGTGCGCTCTGAGCTTGGGCTGCCTGTGTTAGAATTTTGACCCAACCGCTTAGAAGCTGCACGAGTTTCTTGGGCAAGAAACCCCTGCTCAGAGCTGCAGTCCCTGCATCTGTAGAAAACCACATCCGCTGCCATCGAGCTGGTCCTACTCACGGCCCCCTCCTAGAGTTCCCGGGGCTGTACATGTTTACAGGAGCTACCAGCCTCATCTTTCTCCCTCAGAGCACGGGTGGCTTTGAACCGCTGACCAGGTGGTTAGCAACCCGATGCTTATCTCTCAGTGCCACCAGGTCTCCGTAAAGTGGGGGGGTCATCACTGTGCCAACCCCTTGGGTGGCTTTGAGAGTTCATGTGAGAGGGTGTGTTTAGCGTCTGGACGAGTCGTTATTGACTCGATGGCAGTGCGTTTGCTGTTGTTGTTGTTGTTTGGGGTGTTTAGGGTCTGATCTCCCAAAAAAGCACTCTAATCAATCGGTAGGTATCATTTCTACTGTCCTGATTCTGTAGCAGCCCCCTGTCCCGGGCACTCCGCCACCTTCCTGCTCTGGAATCCAGCGAGCCGGATGCCAACCACGCTTTGTCTGCTCTTTCCCAGGGAAACGTTTTCCTTCGTTCTGACCAATGTGGACGGGAGCAGGAAGATTGGCTACTGCAGGCGCCTCCTGGTCTGTGCAGCGCAGAATGGGCCCCTCCTGCTCAGCTGTACTGCTGGGCCGGCTCAAGCCGCAGCCACCAGAGCCCAGGGTCTCTGGCCTCAGGGCTTGTAGAAAGAGCAAAGTCCAGCACCCTCTGCCTTGTTAGTGCCCACTCTGCACCCCTGCGTGAGGGCACAGAGCCCCTTCCTGCCCCTTTGGAGGATCTGTGCAAGCCATGCCTGGTCTTTGACCTCCCAAGCTCTTAAGAGACCCCCTTATTTCTGCCCCCTCTGTCTAGGCAGACCGGCTTTGGCCCCTAGATCTACCAGAGTCTGGGTGGGGATTGGGAAGACTCCATTCAATTCTTGGGCCTTAGAAGGATTCTTCGTGTCATCTCCACAGCTTTCCTCCAAGCCATTTCCTGATCTAAAACAACCTTCCCACCTAGCTGAGCTGACCCCTAAGGCAGTCACAGCAGTGGGAGCAGCATGGCTGGCCTGTGAGCCCTCACCCCCACAAAGCCCCTTTGATGATTGCTCTGTCCCCTGCCCCACCATTCACCACCACTCCCCCCACCCATACTCCAGCCCCTGCCCATATGCCCCAGAGGCCCCTGGGAAGCCACAGCACTGAAGGCACCTTCCTGTGCCCCCGCAGCCCGCCGGCCGTGGCCCGCGCCTCCCCAGGGTGTACTGCATCCTCAGCTGCATCGGCTGCTTCGGCTTGTTCTCCAAGGTACGGTGGTCAGCATTCCAGGGGGCCTGTCAGTCCTGCTCTGCCGCTGGGCTCATCCTGGCTCCCTGAGCTCCTCCTCCCCCACAGCCACTTGCGGAAACTGAGGCTGAGAGGAATGTGAGCTTCACCGGTTTTAGGGGAAAGCTGGTAGAGAGGGGAGCGTCTCCCCTGCAGAGAGAGCCCCCACTGTAGTGAAGGGAGAAGGGAACAAGAGCAGCATTGCAGGAAGGCCCTCAGGCCAGGCAGCTGGAGTTCCTCGGGTCTTCTGCGCTGTTTCCGGTTCTTCTGTCAGTTGGGTATAGGTGCCCTCACTCACCCTCCTACCTCCCAGGCTGGTGTCAGATTCAAGTGAGCGGGGATCTGAGTGGTCTCTTTATAAAGTGCCGGGCACTAAATACATCTGAAGAGAATTGTTATTCAGTAGGGGTCCCAAGGAGAAGCCCTGATGGTGTGTGGTTAGGGGTTGGCCTGCCAACTACAAGGTCAGCAGTTTGAAACCACCAGCCTCCCCAAAGGCGAAAGGCGAGGCATTCTACTCCCCTAGTGACTTAGTCTGGGAGACTCACCGGGGCAGTTCTACCCTGTCACGTGGGATCACTAGGAGTGGGAATCAGCTCTATGGCAGTGAGTTTTGATTTGGTTTGGTTTTTGGGGTTGAGGCATCTTGAGACTCTCTGACTAATCTGGAGGCAGAAGTTGGGGTCCCCAGGACTTCTGCTGGAGTAAGGATCAGAGGGGAATTCCTCCAAATGGAGGGGCTGTGTCTTGACCACAAGACACACCCCTTGGGTATGCTGTGCTCTGCCCTCGTGGAGGAGGGGAAGGAAAACTGTCTTCCTAGGGATGGAGACAGTCCCCGACCCTTCGGGTCTCCAATGGAAATCAGAAGACAGAGTGACATCCAAAAGGCTTAGACCTCTAGACTCCCCCCACCCCCCCACCCCCCGACAAGTGAACATGATCCCGTCAGGGTGAACGACCCGTTTACTCCGGATGACTTCCCAGGGCAAGGGGGGAAGAGGAGTTGGTTCAGAGAGGGTGGAGGATAGGCTCGTCACAAAAGCAGGTCATGTGTGGGAGACAAGCAGCAGGTTATTTACCCTGAGACCTGCCGGGGAGCCGGAGAGAGCCAACTGGTGGAGGGGCAGTCACAGTTGATGAGGCTTGGTTGGGCCGGTGCAGGCTCCTCACAGATGCAGGGACAGGTGGGCTCTCACAGGGGCCCACACAGGGCACCCCTTTGAGCCATGCATGCCTGCTCCTTTCCCTTGCAGATCCTGGATGAAGTGGAGAAGCGACACCAGATTTCCATGGCCGTCATCTACCCGTTCATGCAGGGGCTCCGGGAGGCCGCCTTCCCTGCTCCCGGGAAGACTGTCACCCTCAAGAGCTTCATCCCCGACTCAGGCACTGAGGTGGGCTGGGAAGATGGCCAGAGAGGGCGGGTTTCGGTGACTCTTCGCCCCTTTGTTCACCAGGGAATCAGAGGCAGGTAGCGCCTGAACTTGGCTAGAATTATCGGCAGGGCTCAAAACCAAACCCAAGCTTTTTCCTCATACCAAGTGGATGCCCACAACAACCTAGTTACCCTTCGAGGCTCCCAAACTTCTGTTTCTAAGAAAGCTATCCTGGAACTTAAGACCCTGGATACTGGAGAAAGACTTTTTCCCCAGGCCTCAACGTGCCACCCACTCTTTCTTCCACGCAGCCTTGGCCTCCGGTTTCTGCCCAACACTATCTAGTCTCCAGGAGGTCTGTTTCATCACTCACCCCCACCCCTCAAGTGTCACCCGCCCCACCTGGCGATGTGGTTGTTTTAAGGCCACTCTGTAACGAGGGGAATAAGTAGCAGAACACTGTTCTAACAATTCTAGCTCTGACTAGGTCATTTTGTGGGCTCCTCCGAGCCTTGGTGTCCCCCTATACAAGAAAGAAGAGAGACTCCATTTTTTTACCCTCTCATTCAGTTAAGAAATAAATATTGAATGCTTTGCATGTGCCCAGCACAATACTATTTCTAGGTTTCAAGTGGTGGACACAATGAACCAGTCCATGACCTCATTGAAAGCCCAGTGGGAGGAGGAAATCAGTAAGATCCAGGGAAGGGGGCAGACGGGTCCATAGCCTATCTACAAAACTGTGTATGTGACACTGGCCTCTGGGACCCACATGAGAACAGAGAGGGACGAGAACTCCCAGGGGAGGGAGGGCCTAGCCCACGAAGAGCTTGCGTCTAGGCGGAAGTCAACGTAGCTGAAGCATGGTGAGGGAGGTGGGCTGTGCTTGGTGGGACCACGGAGGCAGATAGGACTTTGCGGCCATGCTAAGGGTTGGTTCGGTGCTACTCTTAGAGCAGAAGGAAGTTGTCAACAGGTTATTGCAGCAGATTCACTCCCATCGCGGAGAACGGCCGAGAGGCCAGGAGAACCTATCTGCCGGCAGGGTTCTGGCAGCTGCGTGCTAGCACCGTGTGCCGACCGTCTCCCGCTCTGCTTTCCCCACAGTTCATCTCCCTGACGCGGCCGCTGGACTCCCACCTAGAGCATGTGGATTTCAGCTCCCTGTTGCACTGCCTCAGTTTTGAGCAAATCCTGCAGATCTTCGCCTCCGCTGTGCTGGAGAGAAGGATCATCTTCCTGGCAGAAGGTCTCAGGTGGGCCCAGCCGCTGCGTGGCTCCCTTGTACTGGTCAGCTCCCCTGTGCTCAAGAGAATAGACCAGAGGGTTCTCAGAGGAGATCTGCGGCAGGACTCGTGCGTGCTCGCCCTCCTTCCAGTTCCTTGAGCTGCCCTCTGAACGGCCGTCATTGCCCCACTCCGCCTCCCAACAAGGTTGCTGCCTTGAGCCAAGCAAGGTTCCTGACTTAGCTCACGAAGAGCATGGAATTTCCCTGGGACAGTCCAGGCGGGGCCCGTTCAGGTGATAGAGATCAGATCCTGCCTTTGAAAGGCTGTGGGAGGCAAGGAGGGTGGAGGACTGGACAGGAAGTGTCTAATGGTATGGAGGTTAAACTATCAACCCCGTGACAAGCATACTTCTTCTAACCACCGGTGGACTCATTCAATAAGCATTTATTGCACGCTTGCTGTTTGCCAGCTGCCAGTCCTCAGGAAGGTAGATACAAATGACCGGTGACTTTCAGGCCGTCCAGAAGGATGCAGTGGTTAACAAGCAGAGATCTTAAAACATCAACAGCAGGTGGTACAAATCCTGCCACTCCACCTTTTAACTGTGAGGTTTTCCTTAAGTTAGTCTCTTAACTTCTTAAAGTCATGACCTCATCCACTATAAAAGCTATCAAGCGGAAATAACGATTGGGCTACCTTGGAAGGCTGTGGTGGGGATGGAAGGAAAGTAGTTGCTGTGGACTGGATTCTAACGCATGGCAACCCAGTGTGTCCGAGTAGAACCGGGCTGCATATGAAGTCCTCACTGGCTGACTGGGGGGAAGTCGATCACGAGTCTTTCGTTCAAGATACCTCTAGGTAAACTAGAATCACCAGCTCTCAGGTTAGAGGTGTAACTGTTTACACCACCCAAGGACTCTGAGAATTAAACGAGCATAATACTGGGAGCCCAGGTGGTACTACCTGCAAGGTCAGCAGTTCAACACCACCAGCTGCTCCTTGGGAGACAGGGCTTTCTGCTCCTGTGAAGCGTGACTCTTGGAAGTCACAGGGGCAGTCAGTTCCAGTCTGTCCTATAGGATCGGTGTGAATCGGCCTCAAGTCGATGGCAGTGAATGTTGTTGTCCATTTGCTTGTTTTGAGTGCCTATGACTGCTGGGCACTGGGTGGATCATAAGTGACAGCTGCTTAGTCCACAGTGAAGACCCAGCCCACCACCACAGAGTCGACTCTGACTCACAGAGACCTTCTCAAGGGTGTCTGAGACTGTAAATCTTGCTGGGAACAGACAGCCTCATCTTTCTCCTGCTCAGCAGCTGGTGGGATTGAACCATTGACTTTTTGGTTTGCAGCCCAGGGCTTGCCCAACAGCACTAAAAGGTCTCTTTTAACAGCCTGATAGTCTAGTCTAAATAATAGGGTCACAGTTGAGTGGCTCCATGTGGATAACGGGGGCTGGGTACTGTCCGAACTTGGTATGGACCTTTGGGGTGCTTCAAGTGGGAAGCAGACAGGGAGAGACAGAATAGAGAAGAAAAGCAAACCATGACGCACTAGAGGGTTGGCCTTCTGTTCACGTCTGTGGAAGGAGAGAGCCCACGATATTGGGCTCACAGTCCTGGTTCTACCTTTTAGGGAAGAAGAAGAACAAACAGGGTGATAGGGACCCAAACACCAGAGGTCAGAGAGTGAGGTCAAGGTCATGGGCTTCAGAGAAAAGGAAGCCTGGGAAAGGCATGGGGCCTGTGAGTTGAAGGCTTCAACAATCAGAGTGAGCCTCAGCTTACCCTTATGCTCTCTGACTCCTAGCTCTTTACGGAGATGGGACATCTCTATTGTGGCTGGGGCTGGAATTCTGTGCCTTCAGGGAACTGAAGGCGCCCTTAGTTGTCAGGTGGCTTGGGTTCTGGCAAAGGCCAACTGATTTCCCAGGGGGATGAACGTTCTTGGAGAGACCCTCACTCTCCACTTCCTTGCCACTGGGTGTTTGCAGATCCCTGAAGCTCGGGCAGGGAGGGAACTTCCAGTCAGGCAGGACCTTGGCTAGATTCTCAGAGACATAATCTTTTTAACTCAGGAAGTGCTAGCTCGATGGCAGGAATTGAAACAAGGCTTCCACATCAGCGTTTTTATTGGCCTTGGCTTGGGGACAATTTGGCAGAAGAAATGACGAGCCTGGAAAGCTAATGGAGAACCGGAAAGAGCCAGTGTGGGTTGGAGTGGGATGAGGTTGTGACGTTGAGCAGTGATTACATGGGGAGTGCTTCGTTGGAGCCGCTTCATGGGGCTTTCCATGTAGGAACTGCTGGGCAGAGGTTCCTGGAACCTAGGAGTTTCCCAAGCTAACTCAGACGGCAACTGGTACAGGTAGAATGACCCAAGGGGGCCATGGGAGGGGAAGGCTGGAGATCAGGGAGTACAGACATAAGGAGGAAGAAAGTCTTGCTGTGCCTGTGATGCGCACACTTCCTTCACACTCTACTGTCATGGTCGGTTACACATGTCTCCTTCAGTGTCCACTGAGTTCCCGAGACCAGGCAGTGTCTTCTTCCCGGCAGCCACAGCCTTAGCGCGTGGTGAGCACGTGGTGAGCAGCGACTCCATCAGTTATCTCTTGCAATGAAGAAAACATCCCTCCTTCCCTTCTCTCTTTAGAGCCTCTTTCGATTCTGACCAGCAGAGAGTTGAGAAGACTAACTGGGAGAAGGGTCAAGTAGAGGCCCCTCCGTGGCCTCCTGGTTTCTTCCCCCAACTATCACAAGTGCTGTGGGGAGGGGGCCTCTGTCGAGCTGTGGGGTGCCAGTGCTGGGCTCTGCGGGCGCCTCTGACTCCTGCTTCTGTGCTCTGTCCCCAGCACTCTGTCCCAGTGCATCCATGCCGCCGCCGCACTGCTCTACCCCTTCAGCTGGGCACACACCTACATCCCTGTTGTTCCCGAGCGCCTGCTGGACACCGTCTGCTGCCCGACGCCCTTCATGGTGGGCGTGCAGATGCACTTTCAGCAGGTGGTCATGGACAGCCCCATGGAGGAGGTATGATGCAGGGGGCGGGGTGCCGGTATGGAAGCTAGGCAGGCGTGGCTTTGGATTCCAAGTCTGCTACTCCCAGCCACGGGATTCCGTGCGAGCTACTGAACCTCTCTGAGCCCGAGTCTCCTGGTCTGTGACATAGTTCTTACTGCTGCTCAGTTCATAGGGATTTGGAGGAGAAAATGGCTCCCCTAAAGCAGTTGGCCCAGCACCAGAGAGATCCTTGGTACCCGTTGTTTGCTCCCCATTGCTGTGCTTCGGGAAGAGCCGGAAGCTTTTTGTGAGACCAGTAGACTCTCCTCCCCCAGCACATCCAAGGCGCTGAGCTGTCCCATCTCTCATCAGAATGGATCATCACAGCTGGCCTATACCACTCACACCCCACTGGAATTCCTTCAAGGAATTCCAAGGATGAAAGAGAGCTAATGACTTCCTCCTGTGAACTGTGAGTCTTGGTTGATGTTTAATCTTGAAAACACAGATTTTTGTAGCTAGAGCCATTGTGCTGATTAGCCCAGCTAGTTGCTCAGAGCTCCATTGACTAATAAAACCATGGGACCCAATCCCCTTTGAGTCTGTTATCTTCTTGGTTCTTGATTGTACACTGTGCTCCAGACGTACCAAAGGGCTCGGTTGTAAAAAAAAAGAAAGAAAAAACAACTCGCCAATAGCATACATTTATCTGTCTGGCAAACAAGACTCAAAGGTCTGCATCGAGTTGTGGTGGGTCCTGGCTCTTAGTAACCCTCTAGGCCCGAGTAGAACTCTGAGCTTCATCTTTCTCCCCTGGTCTCTGGAGACACCTGGTGGGGTAGAACTGCTGACCATGCAGTTAGCAGTTCAGTGAATAAACTACCATGCCACCAGTGTGCAGCATGTTGCTATAGCCTATGCTATAGCCTATGCTTGTAGATGTCTACCCTGGCTAAAAGTGGGTTTGCTGTGCACACACAGTGCTTGCAGGGGCAGGATCTAGAAGTATAAAGCATAAAGGGTCTTTCTCCTTTTTCTTAAGAGAAAATGGAGGCCCAGAGAACTGAACTGACCTATCAGAGCTGCACAAGACACGACGGAAGCCTAGCACAGATGAATCTGAAGCACCTTTACTAAAAGGGAGGCCGCCATTCTATTTCCCAGGAGTACTGCTGGGAAGTCCAGAAGCAGGCTGGTTCCCTTCCTTGTTCCCTTAGCCCTCCCACCTCCCTCAGAACTGCTGAGTACACACACCCTTTGAACCAGCCTCAGTCTTGTGACAAAGTGGGACAGAGTAGTAGCCCTGTGTTTAGCAATGACTTAAAATGTCCCAACCCTAGATGTTATGAAACTTCCTGACGCTGCAGTTACATACAGCTCTTTGGAAGCTGTGGCTCTTCCCCCAGCTGTCGGCAGAACCCGACTCCGGCTCTCCCTCCTAATGCACCGGCCCATTCTGTTCCTCAGCAGCGGCTTTGTCAGTGGTCAGGGCATGGAAAGCAGGGAGGGACCGAAGGTGAGGGTGGAAGTTAGGGAGAGTCTCTGGGAGGGATTACTTCATAGATGGTAGTCTATCCCACTCAGGGAAAGCTGTCAGAACTATCTCAACCAACCAACCCCTCAAGGGCCTTTTCCTGGAGGCCTCTGAGCCTATGCATCGCACACGCAGCCTTGAGCCGGGACGAGCTCAGCCTTTCTCCCGAGAATGGGTAATCACAGAACCTGCTCTGTCTTGTGGCACGTTTTCCAGGCGCCTTTCTTCCTTTGATTTAGAATGGCATGCAGAGGGGTCACTCCATTGATTGTCAAGACCAGCTTTCACAAGCTAAAACCCTGAGGAGGCCCAGCAGTCACCTACGTGACCAACATGGGCTTCGGCATTCATGGTCAACTGCAGGGCCCGTGCCTGGCCAGCCTGAAAGCTGCTACTCAGCCCCACGTGAATGCTGCCCTGACGAGATGTGAGGCAGAGATCGGGATGTTGTGTGAACATTTCCCATTTAAATATTGGAAATTACTTCAGTTATTTGAAAAACAGCATGAGGATCAATGAAACAGGTGGAATCAATTAGCAGGAAGCCTCTCCGTAGCCACTGGTCTAGATTTAAGCCCCTCTAGGCCAGGATGGGGCTGGTAGAACTCTCACACGTATGCCATCGAGTTGATTCCAACTCAAAGTGACCCAGAGGACAGAGGAGAACTGCCCTGTGGGTTTCTGTGACTAATCTTTACGGGAGTGGAAAGGCTTGCCTTTCTCTCAAGGAGCAGCTGGTGGTTTCAAACTGCTGACCATGTGGTTTGCAGCTTAACATGTAACTCAATACTCCATCGGGCTGGAACCAGAACTCAAAACCAAAACAAACTCACTGCTAGAGGTGAATCCGCACAGTGATCCTGTGGGTTTCCGAGGCTCTAACTCTTTATGGGATTGGGAAGCCTCGCCTTTCTCCCACAGAGGCTGGTGGTTTCAAAGTGTAGACCAAGGCATACCCGCTGTACTACCAGGGCTCAGGTTTTCCAAAATGCCAGCCCTGTGCTTGCCTCACCTGCAGCCTCTTGTCACATGGTCTCTCCACATCCTTTCCTTCCCTCCTTCCCAG